CCTGAGCTCCCTGATCCGCCATGGCAACCTGAACTGCCTGCTCCGCCATGGCCCCCTGAACTCCCAGATTTGCCCTGGAGGCTCTCCTGGTCTCCGCCCTATTCCTGTCCTGCACCAGCCTCCAGGGCACCCTTATTTTTCACTAGGGTAGGTTTTTTATTTTTACTTCTTAACAGTTCTATTAACACATCTTTTAGTATTTGAGAAATCAAATATTTGTAAATTAAAAATAAATGCAATACCATTGCCAAATGATGACATCATTTTGACAAATATAGTTAAAATTATTCTTTTGATTTTTTTTTATGACATTTCGCAGTCTTTTAGAGGCAGTATATTGAAAATGGAATCAAATAATCAGCCATAACTACACATTTCATTTGTCCATTTATTTTTATAAAATACTACTGACTCAAAATGCCTACCTAGTAATTTGAACAGTCAGTAATTACACTGATCTTGCAAGCTCTACAAACAACATAACACAGTAAGTGTTTGATTCTTTAAGAAAATTACCCATAAGAGTAATTCATTTTAGAATTGGTCGTACTGCACCTGTTGTGCTCGGGAATCTACAGTAGTCTCACTATACTGCAGTGGTGGGCCGTCAGGGCCAGCAAAGCCTTCTCTGCTGGCCTAAACACTATCAGAATCACTGATTTAGTTTAATACCACTGAAGGCCTAGGTGTAAAATGCACGGCCCGCCACTGCTATACTGTATGTTTCTGATTCACTAAAAATAAACCAACTCATAAGATTCAGTTGTTTGAGTCAACACCCACAACACCCTATCACCATGACTGTGCCTTTAGTATGCAAACACTCATATTTACTTTAGAAAGTACGAAACTCTGATTATGCAGCTTGCTTGTTTGATTATGAAAACTTTTTTTTCTTTTGTACACAGCAAAATGGAGCAGCTGTAACTTTGAGATTAATCTCTGTATTGTCCTAGAATTGTTTTTCTCCACTTGTTGAGTCTGTTGTTAGTTCAAAAAGGGACACAGACCAAACTAGATGTTCAAGCTGTGGATGAGTTGTGCGTTTAGCATTTTAAAGCCACTCAATCCTCGAGAGGACACAATCTGCAGATTTCTACCCATAATCCTCCTCTGATTGAAACTCTTATCAGTTCCATCCAACAATGCCTGCCCAACATATGGCTGGCCTGGCGACATGATAAAACGAGAACCGCTGAATTACACAGCTTTCCACTTGAGTATTTCTTGTTCTGATTTTCAAATGCACAAACATTTTGCTTGAAATCAAGATAAACAGATGGAGAAAGTCGATTGGTTTGATGTGCAGCGATGATGACGCACAAAGAATAAAGTACATTGCTAGTCTGCTGACCCATATTCCAAACCTAACACTAGGAATCCTGTTCAAAGGAGCTTAGCATGTAAACGGCATTTGATTTGGAAATATCCTTGCAGGAATTCTAAACATTTGATCATAGTAAAGCCTGAGCCCAAAAATGCACTGTTGATGCACCGTCATTAGGCCATTTGTGCGATTCCATGTCTTTCAAATGTGTTACCAATGAGAGAAGTGATGGCCTGGCCAATGAAGACTTCAAAACACCCCTGGAAGACAGAATTAATGGACTTGTAATACATTCTGTAGAGAAACCGAGAGCTCATTTCAGTGTTTTGATTTATGCACCCCTGAGAAGAGGCATTCGGTTGAGTGAACAATACTCAACGACTGGTGTGGCGTGCGATGGGACGAACATGAACTCGCAACACTCAACACCACTACCAATCACAGCAGGGTTTAGAGATACTGCGATCTGATAGCAGTCTCATTATCACTGACTGAGAGAGAGAGAGCAAAATAAACAGAAGCATGAGCTCATTTATATGCGCCTAGATGGCTAGTGTGTAAATGGGGAGGCTAACATGCCTTGTGTTGTGTGTATATTGAAGTTAAGGTTGAATGAATGGTAATCCCCTGAAGGTTGGACTGGGAATGTAGAACTAGAGAGAGAGAAGCTTTCGCCGTGCCTCAGTGGCATGGTAATGGATGCCACAGAGAGCTTTTCTGTCACACGCACACACAGCCACGGGGCAAACACTCCAGTCACACATCCGTGTCTGGACCCAGCATGCCAACGACTCTCTCCGCCACACGCAGTCCCGTCGCCAAAGCGTCCGTCATGAGGTTACATCAGCTGCTGCGCACTAGGAGAATGTGCATAGCCAGTACAGTAGGGAGGAAATGTTTATATTTTTGGACACTTAAATTCCTGATCAAATCCCATCCTTGTTTCTCATTAAACGGATAGTTCACCCAAAAATGAAAATTCTGTCATTAATTACTCACCCTTATTTCGTTCCAAACCCGTCAGATCTTTGTTCATCTTTGAAACACAAATTAAAATATTTTTGAAGAAATCCAAGCTTTCTGACCCTCCATAGACAGCAATGGAACTCACATGTTCAAGGCCCAGAAAGGTAGTAAGGACATTGTTAAAATAGTCCATGTGACATCAATGGTTCATTCATTTTATGAAGCTAATAGCTTTTGTGCGCAAAGAAAACAAAAATAACGACTTAATTCAACGATTTCTTCTCTTCCATATCAGTCTTTGATGCGTGCTCACGAGAGTCTGAGAGCATGCGTCGTGGTACAGTCATGAACGCACATCTAAGACTGACAGGAAAGAGAGGAAATTGTTGAACAAAGTAGTTATTTTTGTTTTCTTTGCGTGCAAAAAGTATTATTTTTTTTTTAAGTACCTTAATTTGTGTTCCGAAGATGAATGTAGGTCTTATTGGTTTGGAACGACATGAGGGTGAGTAATTAATGACAATTTTCATTTTGGGGTGAACTATCTCTTTAAATATCCTGTTTTAGACTGAAATACATTACAATACAGAAGTAAAATGGTTTGCAAATGCTGTTTCATATTGACTTTAAATGAGTACTTCACCCAAAAAACAAAGTTCTCTCATCATTTACTTACCCTCATGCTATTTTAAATGTATACTGCATTCCTTCTTCAGTTGAACACAAACAAAAAATATTTGAGAAAAGTGAACAGGAGCCCATACTGTATTTTGTCACTCAAAAAAGAACATTCAGCCATCATAATGGTAGTCCATACAATCCGAGTGGATAAATCAATCTCTT